AAAATTTATAAATAAAACTACTATAATCAATTCATTGAAGTCAATCAATATTAAAAAGAATACATTTCTCCATTTAACTAAAATACAAAATAGAATAATATTCAATGTGTATAGAAAAGATAAAATATTAAAAATGATTAAAATACTATCCACTTTGTAAATACAATATATCAACAGTAGAACACATTCTACTATCTTGTATTGGTCATAAAAAATCACAAATTGAGAAATATGACAATATTTGTATTATCATATGGGATAATTAGAAAATATATGAAATAAACATATGAAATAATATTCTAATACAAATAACATTATTATGATATTGAATAAACAAATAATATCAAAAAGTGAATGACAATATCATAAAATATCAGATATATATGTAATAAATAAAAAGAATAAAACTGATCTATTATTTGATATGAATAATGTTGAATATCATAATATTAATGGAATATATTTGAATAAAAGAAATACATATAAAGAAATGAAGAATATACTAATGAAAATAGACAAATTAAAAGACATCAAAATAATTACAGTAATAATTTCAATAAATTAAATAATAAATGTAGAAAGTATTAAATTAATGAAAGAAATAAAAAAATGAAATTGACATCATAAAAGAAATTAAAAACTATGTAATTAAAAATATAAAAGACTTCATGGGATATTGCATCTAACATAGTAGAACATACTCTATAGAACTATTAGAACAAGACTCATTGAAGGGATTATTCTCCACCAAGTTAGGAACAATAGAAACCAATTCTATTAATACTTAGTTATTTGCTTTATTCTTTTCTAAAAATATATTATTATACTTTATAACAGAAGAAGAGCATATTGAAGAGATTGAAATAATCATTTTTCAATACAAATAAACCCTCATTGCATATTTATCTAGTAACTGAGCATTTTTTAAATAAATATTGCTGAAGTTTATTAATTTATTATAACTAATTCTTTTCTTTAGAAAAGCTAAAGTACTTGTTGTATTATTTATTATATTCCAATGGCTCTGTTTAGTAGAGTTATATATAGAATCTAATTTTTTAATTATAGTCAAAAAAATTAAAATTCTTTTTAAATAATACATCCGTTCAATATTAATTTATTCATTGAGAATATCTTCTATAATATCTATTATTAGTTAACAGAAAGGAAAATTATTTATATAATATTTATTGTCACATTTAAATAATTAATAGATATAAGAAATTTCTTCAATTTTATTTTTTAATATTCAAAAAATTTATGAACCAATTCTTATGAAAGAAGAATAACATATTTACTACTCACCCTTTTTACAAAAAATAAAATAGGAAAAGGAAAGAATAATTTAATTCAATAAACTAGAAGGGGTTGTAATAAGGTGGTGGACATCCTCCCATTGGGTATCCCCCTGGTCCTGGCATAGGTGGTGGACATCCTCCCATTGGATAACCTCCTGGTCCTGACATCGGGTATCCCCCTGGTCCTGGCATAGGTGGTGGGCATCCTCCCATTGGTGGTGGTGGATAAACTCCCATTGGTGGTGGTGGGCATCCTCCCATTGGTGGTGGTGGATAAGCTCCCATTGGGGGTGGGCATCCTCTCATTGGGGGTGGACATCCATGTACTGGAGCACCAACAGTTAAACCGTATATAATTTGGATATGGATCTCACCCTTTTTCGAAAGACCTAACCAAGTGTCAACTACTTGACCAGGACTGCCACCTAATACACGATAGTGAGTGCTTCCAAGGTTATCGTTTTTACCAAAATTGTCGTAATCATATACTTCAAATCTAAGGTCTTCTCCAATAGCAACGTCCATATTGAATGATTTATTCCATGATGGGTTTCTTGTCATCTTACATACGTGAGTTTGTTGAGTGCATTGTCTACTGATGACCTTACAATAAGGATCACTTGATAACCCACAAAAGTCAGAGCCCTTTAAGTTTTTAGCTTCAATTATCTTTAATTCAATCTTGATCATTTGATATTTTTTAGTCTTTTTTCTTTCTTCTTAAAGTTTAAGCTAAAATGTATCTTTGTCTCTTCTGTGTTTTGGTTATTGAAACAAAAATTGTATCTTCCTGTGTAACTCTATGATACTTAAATATTTTATTTCTTATATTATATTTTAATTTATTTATTTGTTTTTCTTTTCTATCACTTCCGATTTTATTTCTTTATTCTATTTTTAACTCTTTGTTTTTTATAAATTTTTTTCAAAAACATTTTATGCTTTATAAAATTTGTATGAAATAATTTTTTATTTTTTGAATATTCGGTACTCATTTAAAATATACTTGAACCAAATAGACTTGGAAATGAATCTCTTCTTAATACTCATCATCAAATTCACATTGCGGCTCCTCTTCCTCTTGGTGCACCTCTTGGACCTCCTCGTGGTGGCATTCCTCGTGGTGGTGCACCTCTTGGACCTCCTCTTGATGGCATTCCTCGTGGTGGTGCAGTATGCATAATTGGTGTTTCTTGTTCTTCATGTTCTGGAACTTGTGCTGGTGGCATCATTCCTCCTCTTCCTCTTGGTACTGGACTTCCCCTTGATGGCATTCCTCGTGGTGCTGGTGCCCCTCGTGTTGGATGTGGTGCTGATCCTCCCCTATTTGCTCGTGCAGCAATAGCTGCCATTAATGGATTGCCTCCCATTGGCATTCCTCCTCCCATTCCACTTGATGATGAACTACTTGATTTACCAATGGCTGGTGCTGATTTATCTACTGTAGTAGTTTTCTTTAATTTAGTTCCTCTTTGAATTTGGGACAATAAATCACCCCTTCCACCAGATGATGGTGGTGGTACATTGGCAGGTCCAGGTGGTGGTAAATTATTTGAAGGTGGTGGTGGTGGACAATTGCTTGGAGGTGGTGGTGGCATCATTCCTCCTGTTGATGCTCCTCTTGATGGCATTCCTCGTGGTGCTGGGCTTCCTCTTGATGGTGCACCTCTTGGACCTCCTCTTGATGGCATTCCTCGTGGTGGTGCAGTATGCATAATTGGTGTTTCTTGTTCTTCATGTTCTGAAACTTGTGCTGGTGGCATCATTCCTCCTCTTCCTCTTGGTACTGGACTTCCCCTTGATGGCATTCCTCGTGGTGTTGGTGCTCCTCTTGATGGCATTCCTCTTGGTGCTGGTGCCCCTCGTGTTGGATGTGGTGCTGATCCTCCCCTGTTTGCTCGTGCAGCAATAGCTGCCATTAATGGATTGCCCCCACTTGGCATTCCTCCTCCCATTCCACTTGATGATGAACTACTTGATTTACCAATGGCTGGTGCTGATTTATCTACTGTAGTAGTTTTCTTTAATTTAGTTCCTCTTTGAATTTGAGATAATAAATCACCCCTTCCACCAGATGATGGTGGTGGTACATTGGCAGGTCCAGGTGGTGGTAAATTATTTGAAGGTGGTGGTGGTGGACAATTGCTTGGAGGTGGTGGTGGCATCATTCCTCCTGTTGATGCTCCTCTTGATGGCATTCCTCGTGGTGCTGGGCTTCCTCTTGATGGTGCACCTCTTGGACCTCCTCGTGGTGGCATTCCTCGTGGTGGTGCAGTATGCATAATTGGTGTTTCTTGTTCTTCATGTTCTGGAACTTGTGCTGGTGGCATCATTCCTCCTCTTCCTCTTGGTACTGGACTTCCCCTTGATGGCATTCCTCGTGGTGCTGGTGCCCCTCGTGTTGGATGTGGTGCTGATCCTCCCCTATTTGCTCGTGCAGCAATAGCTGCCATTAATGGATTGCCCCCACTTGGCATTCCTCCTCCCATTCCACTTGATGATGAACTACTTGATTTACCAATGGCTGGTGCTGATTTATCTACTGTAGTAGTTTTCTTTAATTTAGTTCCTCTTTGAATTTGGGACAATAAATCACCCCTTCCACCAGATGATGGTGGTGGTACATTGGCAGGTCCAGGTGGTGGTAAATTATTTGAAGGTGGTGGTGGTGGACAATTGCTTGGAGGTGGTGGTGGCATCATTCCTCCTGTTGATGCTCCTCTTGATGGCATTCCTCGTGGTGGTGCAGTATGCATAATTGGTGTTTCTTGTTCTTCATGTTCTGGAGCTTGTGCTGGTGGCATCATTCCTCCTCTTCCTCTTGGTGCACCTCTTGGACCTCCTCGTGGTGGCATTCCTCGTGGTGGTGCACCTCTTGGACCTCCTCTTGATGGCATTCCTCGTGGTGGTGCAGTATGCATAATTGGTGTTTCTTGTTCTTCATGTTCTGAAACTTGTGCTGGTGGCATCATTCCTCCTCTTCCTCTTGGTACTGGACTTCCCCTTGATGGCATTCCTCGTGGTGTTGGTGCTCCTCTTGATGGCATTCCTCTTGGTGCTCCTCTTGATGGCATTCCTCCCATTGAATGTGGTGCAGATCCTCCTCGACTACCTCTTGCAGCAATAGCTGTCATCATAGGATTGCCTCCCATTGGCATTCCTCCTCCCATTCCACCTTTAGGTTGTTCTATCATTGGTTTTGATTTGTCTATAGTTTCACATTTATTCAACTTCTTTCCTTTTTGAATTTGAGATAATAAATCACCTCTACCAGCAGATGAAGGTTTTGGCATACTATGATTTGATGGGGGTGGTGGCATTCCAGCAGGAGGTGGTGGTGCACCAGGAGGTGGAGGTGGTGGTGGCATTCCTCCTGAAGGAGGTGGTGGTGCACCAGCAGGAGGAGGAGGTGGTGGTGCACTTCCTCCTTTATGCTTAGAATTGTCTTTATCCTTCTTCTTATGCCCAAATAATCCCATTGAATTAGAATAAACTTATTAAGTTCATCCTTGAATAAATTTCAAAAATAACAGTATTAATGAACTTAAAAATTAATTTTTTAGTTTTAACAACGTGGTAATTTCTACTTCTTCTCTTTGTAGAAATTTTCATATTTATTATTTAAATGACTTAATTACAATTAAGTTTTATCACAGTAGTTTTCTTTTTTTAGATTTATTTTATTTTAAACATTTAGTTTAATGTTTTCAGTAGTTTTTTTATGGACAGATATTAAACAACATTTTTTCCTTTTAAACGATAAAACGTAGATAGATCAATTTAATTTTACTACCAATGAAAGAAGTAGTTTTAAATTAAATTATCAAAAGA